TCACAAAAATCAACTCTTTGAAGTGAGAGACTATCTTATTGATGAGCTTGAAGACTATCTTTAAGAATGCTTTGCAACTTCATCAGTGAATGTCACATGCAGAAGATAGAGCTTCAAGTCAGGTCTCATACAGTGTAATCAGCTTTGTATTTTCAGAGCTCTTATACAATATTGTTGAGGTTGATATAAGGTTAAGGAGCTCTGTGACTGTAATAACTGTCTCATCTCACATTTTTTCAGAAGCTGAAGAGTCTATTAATAGTGATTGAAACTTCTCAATGATCAAAATGATTGATTGTTTGAATACTTCATCTTGCTGTGAAGTATGAGAAGAAGTTGACTCTCACTTTATTTCTTCACTGAGTATATATGCTATGACTGCATTCAAATTCAATTCTTCATGATCTGAGTGAATGATTGCAATATCACATCTCAGCAGATTCTTGATAAATTGATTGAAGATCTGTAGATATCTCAATATCTCATTCTTACATTTCAATAGAAATATTCACCTCATTCAGATGACATCATCTGTTATCATCATTGCAAGCTTCTTGTCAGTGTAAGATAATATATCATTCTCAGTTTCAAGAGTCTCATCATCACTGAATATATTCACTCAAATCTTCAAGGCCTTGCAGATAGCATGATGTGATGTGAAATTCTTATAGAAAGTGCATTTCTGTTTAGTCTTAACACATGTGAAACAGAATGATAATTTTTTCAGGCTGATAATGACAATATCAAATCGCGGGTCCCTGATCATTTTTAATATACTATTTTTACTGATATGATCAAGTTGATGATGTCACTCATCTATCAGAAGCTGTTTTAAAAGAACTGCAGATAATCAAGATGAAGATGAGATAATAAAGAAATCAGTATCTGAATTCTTAGAGTTGATTAACTGTTCAACCTTCTCACAGCTGAAAGATCTCAAAAACCCTGTATTCAGATTGTAATCTGTTGAGATTGTCTTTGATTTCAAAATGACCACATATGTCACTGCTTTATACATCGAGTCATTCATTACATCATGAAATGTCAGTGAACTGTTGAATAGAATGTAAATATTATTGTGAGACAGATTGACATAGAAGATATCACTGTTGATAGATGACAGAAACTCAAAGTAGTTCTCAGCATTAACTTGCATATCACAGTGAATATAGCTCTTGTGCTTCATAAGTTCTGTGAAGATCAGATTTGCAGATAGTTCTGACATGTAGTATATATAATTGAATTCTATCAATCTTTCACTCACTGAGATGAACACAGTGTTAACACTCTGAACCTTCAGAATGATCTTATTAGCCACTTGAACTGTTGAATTATTGATTGCTATAAGTTTTAAAAATCATGATCTATCACTTGCTATGTGGCATCCGGCGCCACTATCTCATATAGTGAGGGAATCCTTGTGAGATTTCACAAAACAGGCTGGCATATTGATAACCTCTGCAAGATTTGTCATCTGAAAGGTCTCTGATTCATCTGTAATAAATAGTTAAGTTCTACTCTCACTATTATTCTTCTTTTCTTTGAATTTCTTTATTCTCACAGCGTTGTAGATTCTTCAATTATCTGAAGCACTGTCTGAATTGATTAGTCAACAGATGTCAAAGTGAGATCTCTCATATTCAGAACATGTAGGTGAATTGCCTGATCTCTGATGATTTCCGAAGCCCTCTAAAGTATTACTACAATCACATTCATTACAGCCTTCACGGGCCGAATTCAATGTATTGTTGTTGTTGTTAGAGTTGATAGGCATTGTGATCATTGTAGCTGTTATAGCTGTTGTAGCAGTGATAGCTGCAGAATCTGTATTCTGTAGATTCTTTTTATCTTTTGAAGAATCAAGTCATGAACAGATCTTCTTTATGAGAAGATCAACATTCAATATCACTGCTGTGAATTTAAAATCCTGTATCTTCTCAATCTTCTTCTGAACATAATTTCTTCAATTGTTGAGTAGAACTGAGTAAAAGGTATTAAATATTCATGCATCTGAGAGAAAAGCATGCATCATCTTCAATTTTGTAATGATGAACTGAAACTTATTAAAGAATATGTATAGATTGATGATGTGTGTATTATCAAGTGACATGAATTCCAGAACTGTCTCACAGTGTAACTGTATTTTTAAAATAGAGTATTTCTGTTCAATTGCATTTCATAGAGTATAAGTGATTCAATTTTCATTATATTTGAAGAAACATGATCTGACACCTGTACTCAATAAGTTTGAAATGAATATGTAGAGTTATCAGTTTCTGATATCTCAGAATAATGCTCATTTATCATCTCTTTGTAGAGAATTCTGAGACTGTCATTTCTCTATTATATATTAACACTGTATATTAATCAGTTTTGATTTCATAAAGATACTTCATGTGATGTAATTGAATATATCAGTTAGACTGTTTAATCTCACAGTATTCTTGATATCTTTCTTGAATTGAAAGATTATCTTATCAACACAGCTATCTGATTTATAAAGGTTGAATTTCAACCTTTCACTGAGATTAAGATCTCATGTAACTGTACAGACTGTTAAGATAATAACAGAATAATTATTAACATTCTGTAATCAATCTGTAGAGAATCTCTGTTGACAGAGTTTTTTCAGTTGTAGTTCAAGTTCTAGAACTCTATATCTCTTCTTCTTCATCTCAAATGTTATCTTAAGATGTTTTATCTATTGATCTGATATTGTCTTGTCTGAACAGTAAATATCTGAATATTCATTATTCTTATTAAGAGAATTAGTATTAAGCTATTAAGTAGATCAGAGAGCCAGCCTGATCATATCAGAAGCTGTATTCAAATCAGCTTTGAATTAAGAGAGTGTTTCAGAGTATTTATCAATGAAGCTTTTAAAAGCTTCAGAAGAATGTTCACTGACAGAGTATAAGTGTAAAGAATTATCATCATTAACTATAACTGACTCAGTGAAAAGAATACAAGATTGTGAATGTGTATATGAGTGAGATTATATTGAATTCATCATCTTGATATTCATTTATCAGATCCTTGTTAATATTATTCTCTTTTTCTTACTTTTTTACAAATGTGATGCATTTTCTGCAAGTCTCTTTTTAAGTGAGCAGTAGTATTATTAATTATCAAGATCTCAAACATATCAATACTGATAGAATAAGACAATTTTAACTTCTGATGAGCATATCAAATGAAGCAGTAGTTAAAATAATGATTATATTGACAAGGAATCCGGAATTGGCAGTGTTTTTGCACAAAACAGGTCTCATAACCTGTGGAAGGTGTAAAGCTTGTGTGATTGAAAGGTTGCTAGCTTGTGGAAAGTTATATGGTGGAAGGATTAGTAAGCCAGATCACGTGACCTGACACAATGCCAATAACAATACCAATATCGAAAATGCCGTGGATCCGGAGGTCAGATTTCACAAGACCATAACCATACTCATACCCATAACCCTGTGGTGTCAATGATATCGCGGGTATAACCATAACCATAATCAAAACCATAACCCCGTGACATCAACGATATCATGGATATAACCATAACCTGTGGTGTCAACGATGTCACGGACATAACCATAACCATAACCGCCAATATCAACACCAAAACGATGGAGATACCGATAACCATGATACCGATAACCATGATACCCGGGCTGTTGAATGCCCATATGATAACCCAGGGTAAAGATGATACCCCATGATAACCATGATAGCCCACGATAACCAGGCCAGCGAGTGCCTATATGATAACCATGATAACCCACGATAACCAGGCCACCGAGTGCCTAACTATATGATAACCATGATAACCCACGATAACCAGGCCACCGAGTGTGCCTATATGATAACAACGATAACAATAACAATAAAATGACAAAAATATGAGAAATGAGACCCCGCAGTGTTCGGATGACTGGGGGGGGTAATACAGATACAGAAAGGACGGATTTGGGCGTTTTTTCTTGCATATTCGCGTATATTTGCATGTATGGAGCTAGTCCTTATGAGAAAACTAGACTCTACTTTGTGTAATTAATTATTATTGCAGATTTGAATGATTTGAGTGCTTTTGTGGCTGCGTGGGCTAGATGGCCGGCGCAGAATGGGGGGGTGTTGTTATCTCAGCGGGCTCAGACCCTCTGGCTCGGTTTGAACGGGTTGCAGCATTATTATTAACTAATCCGGCATGACACTAACCTACTTTTGATACAAGTCATGTGCTCAGAGCAATCCTCACCAGAGGGTCTGAGAAGAAACAGTTCCATCTTCAATGAAGATTCCTGAGATTTATAAGGATTTTTCAGATTCTTTAACTTTGACTTTCTATTACTATATACTCACATATCTTTGAGATTTGAAAATCACCTTAGCTTATAGCTAAAGAGAAGAAGAATAGAAATATTTCTTTAATATTTCAAAAAAATCTATATTTAAGATAGATATATACTCTTGAAAATGATCATATTTTTTGATCTCAGAATTTCTAAGAGCTTTTTTTTGTATGAGAAATTGAATTAAAATTCCTGTGTTCAAAAACACACTGATCAACTTTGAGATGATACTTCTATTCTAAGAACTTGAGATATGAATATAAAAATCAGATACATCATAAGAACATTGTTATTCTAAGGTTCTAAGATGATACAGAAATGATGAATCTATGAAGTTGAGTTGAAATTCTCTTTCATACTCAGAGTACTGAGTAAATCATTTCTGTGTTGCTAATAATCAGAAACTGTTTCTTCTCAGATGCTTTATAAGATATTATCACTCACATGACCTGATTTTACTATTTGGGTTAGCTTATTGCTTATTTGAGGTTAGCTCATGACATAATCATCAATCCAGTGTTAAAACAGCAATGAATATCTGGAGAAGCGTCTGAGCTTGCTGAGATAAGAGTGTTGAAGGTTCTCCACTGACCCTCACCCACGTGACCCACACATATATTAGTTGCCGCTAGCACTAGAATAATCAACCAAGTTCAACCTCTTCTACAATTATTTTCAATCTCTCTTGTAATCAAAATTTTAAGAGAGATTAATGTCTGTGACATCTGAATAATTACAGCTTAGTTTCTTAGCATTAATCAAAACTTTTGAGAGAATTCTCTGTAGTGGCTGTGTGATTGCAGCTCAGTAATAAGAGTATTTATTCTTCAGTCTACCTCTGAATCTCTTCTCTTCACTTCTCAAGAGTTTCATTTTGTTTCAGAAACAACATCTCAATGAAAATAACCATGCAAGCCCTTCCGAATGAACTCATTCTGCATGTTATAAGATGCCTCATCCCATCCTCACCTCCTGTGGTCTTCAAGCCTCAACACCCAGTGACTAAGAGTCTGCTCAATCTCACACTAGTGTCCCATATCACATCCGGTGCTGCAAAACATCTTCTCCTGAGGCACTGTCTATATCTAGACTCTGAAGAGCGTCTTGCAAAGCTTATGTCTCTGAGACAGCAGTCATCAGTGGACCTCAACGCTGCAGGGCCAGAGGGACTGTTTCTAGCCCCCTTCCCGGCGCAGAACCTCAATTGTCCCAGTATTGTGCACAATGTTAGCCTACTGCTATCCGACATTAGCGGGACACTTGCTCGCCTCGTTATCAACCTGCCCCTGCGTTTCCTCTACCCGGAAGAGGACAAGAACCTCTTACGGCCGATCTTGCGGGAGGCCTTTTCCCACTTGACAGCTTTGGAAGAGTTCTGTTCAATGCAAGATGAGCTCTACCTGGACACAGCATTAGAGCGACGCGGGCCACAACCGGAGGTATGGCAGGCATGGCCACGACTGCGGTACCTTGCGCTATACAACCCCTGCGTCGATTCAGCTAGATTCGTCGCGGGTATCAAGTGTTGTTCCAACCTGACCCACCTCGTCCTTACGCGGCCAGATGGGATATTCAATGATGTTGCCGACGACCAGGATGGTTTGGGACCCCTGCCACGGCTGGAGCAGGTTATCATCGTCAATACTGAGCGGGGTTTTAGTCGCGATCGGAGGTTCCACGACGACGAGGGGACTGCGCCGGACGATACACTCTTGAGGGGATTAAAGAGTGGATGGTTGAGTAATAATCAAGTTGGTCGGGCTAGCGCGGAGATGTCTGAGTCTGACTACTTTTGTGTTGCAGCCGAAGTACCTATCCCTCCTGATCTGGTGGGGGAGGATGATAGTGATATCCTAGCATGCCAGGGGTGGGTTGGCAGCCGCGCACTGAGTGGAACATTGTGGGATGAGTCGGGCACTCCATTTCTTGACTGGCCGGAGTCATGATGCGTTGCGTCTGGTTTTCAATGTCAACATAGCTATTCCACATCGATAGTTTTGTACCTGCCATTCTCAGGTTATAATGTAGAGAAGAGAGCAGAGAGCACTACGCGGTGATTTGAAGCCTGAATTCATTCAAAAGTGTCACTGACACAACATAACCTCATAGATGGGCATCTTTAGATTAGCCACATAGCTAAGCAAACTGCCAAAATCGGCCACATGTGTGTCCCTATATAGGGAAAGCTATCGAGGGTGGAAGAATGTATTGTACAAGCTAGATGCCGATTATGTGGAATACAATGAATGGAAGGGCGGAAGTGTACTGAATGAGGCTTTGACTTGTGTTCAACAGAGCTCATCTGTCTACAGTTGAGTGGTTCAATTTGTCTCTTTCATCACATTCATGTATCACACTTGAAAAAGCTAATCCCAATTTCACCCCACCTGGTGTGCTCTAGCTGTGCTCTATTGTCGTGGGATGAAACAGAGGCCTGACCTCAAATTGAAGACTTCTTCTAACCTTCAAAATACAGATGATGATCATTGAGATGAGAACCATAACTGGTAAATCTATTATAGCAGTCAAATATTAGAACAAAAGCATAATTTCATCTCCTGACACTCTTATCTTCATACTTCTGAACTCTGACTCATTGCATTCATATTCTGATTCATCCTCCACTCCCCCTCTCCCTCTGCAGCCCCAACAAATTCCTCTCGCTTCCAAATCTCCACTGCGGCCTTGCACTGCTCCAACACCTCCTCTCCAGCCCTCCATGCAGGTGCTCTATGTCCCGCGCTCACTGCAATGGCAATTGACTCCTCTGCAACACCCACCTCACCCAGCCGATGTGAGATACTGATGCCCTGTAGCTTGTATTTAGCCACTGCATTGCGGGCGATTTTCTCCAGCGTGCGCAGGGCTAGGGGAGTGTAGCTGATGTATGTGAGGCGGGCAATGGGGTGGTTGTCAAAGGTTGAGCGGGTGGTGCCGAGGAAGAGAATGTTGGCACCCGCGTGCGGGGAGCGAACATGAATGATGCTCCTGGTTGGATTGAGAGGGCTGTAGGTTAATTCAAGATGAATGTTCGCGTCGGGGATATGGCGGGTCTGTGGGTAATTTGCTGGATTGAGATGAGCGGGAAGAGCTTCAGAGGAGGCCTCGGGGTTGAGATGGTGTTCTTGAGATTGTGATGTTGTTGAGTTTGACATGATTGATGCTTGATATCCGGACTCGGCTGGATGAGAGAAGAGAAGGGGATCATTAGGCGAAATTCCTGATGGCGATGAAAGTTGCCAGATGTGGTCTAGTTAGTCTAGGTACGGCAGGCTATAGAGACATTTAAGTCAAATGACTTTTTTCATGTTTTTCTGCTAAAATTACTTAATTTCACTTATAGACACATGAATAGAAATTTATATAAAAGTTTATCTGTAAGCAGAAATATCTCATTTCATTTTAACTAAGTAAAAAATAAAAAAAAATTAAATTAAATTAAAAAATTTTCAAAAAATATTTAAAATTTATAAACTATTAATAAAAAAAAAAGTTATCTGATAATATAATGTAATCAACTACTCAACATCTGCTTATACTTAATACCTGTCATTTTATCATTATAATAATGAAATATTTTCAATAATATCTTAATAACACAATTAGATTTTAAGATGATATATTATATAATGAAAATATATATAGAAAATTACATATAAAAATATACAGCTAATTCTGTAGATGTTTATTAAACTTAATAACTCACTCAGAACATGAAATCTTAAATGAAGATAGATTCAGTGAGTAAGCAGTTATTAAATCAGTAGAGATTGTAATATTATCAGATTTCTTCAGTAGTGAATTCATAAGAACTTTAACAGAGCTCTGAAAACATAATTTAGTTACTTTTTATCAAATCAAGAGTCTACTTTTCTGATTAGAAAGATGATTTTTGAATTCTTCAATCTTTTACTTATTTTACTATGATTGCTGCTATATAATAGCTTGTTCTTTCTTCTCTTTTTACTCTTAAGTCTTTCTCATATCTCTAAGCTTCTTTTCAATCTGCTGTTGAGCAGGTCTTACAGTTTTATTCATATCTTTTTACTACTTTACTATCTAATAAACTGTCTCTCACTTTATTCTCTTCTTCATAATATCTATCTTCTTCTATTTCTTAAGAATAGTATGTTATAACTTGATATTCTTCTTATAAGTCTACTCATTCTTTTTAACAGCTTTAAAAGTTATTATTTTCTCATGTATAATCTATATCTTTACTGATGAAAAGAACTGTGTTAATAATAAATTTAAAGAATCTAGTAATCTCATTACTCTGTTATACTTATAATATCTTTTCTCTTAATTAAGAGCTTACTGTATCTGTTCATTCTCTATTAGAAGAATCTCTTTATTAAGAGTAAGATTGTCTCTTACACAGATCACTCAGTTGAGATTACTAAATATTTAATACTGTTACTACTTAACTTACTTCATCAATTTCTGTATATTAATAATAGAAGTAGAGATTCTTAATCAATATTATATATCTAAGAGAGTATAAGACTGTATTATAAGCTTTTTAAGAACTTATTCTGAATTGAATAAATATAGATCAGTAGTAGTGAATGTGAATATAATATTTAAAGATATAACTGTCTTCTTTTATACAGTATTGAATAGCTATTAAAAAGACCTCTTTATAGTATACATAAATCTCATTTCAGTTTTCATCTGTTCATTCAGTTAATTGAAGTATAATTTACTCAATAATTCAAATATTTCAATAGCTAGTAACTGTAATCAGTGTATAGAATGAAGAGAAAAGATAGTAAATAAAATTTAATAATAATCTATATAATTGATGAATATTATATTAGTATAAGAGAAGTGACTATTTAATATAAGAAGTCTATATTTATATTCTACTTTCTTTTTTATAAGAGATTCAAAGATCTTCTTTAATCATATTAATTCATATTCATCATTACTTTATTTATTTTCTGAAGTAGTAAAGTAGATCTGATTTTTTTCACAATTAAAATTATTCAGTTAAATATCTTACATATTTTTTAATTCTTCTTAATATATAAGAGTAGATGAGAGTGAAGTTTCATCTGCATAAATTGAGATAAGTAGTATTATAAATTCTTAACTGCTATTCTAGCTGACATCTATTATATGATCTGATTTAAGTGCAGTAATCAATATAATATATTTAAGAATGTGAATGAGTTCTTATTATTATTATTATTCTTTAATTATAGATGTATGCAGTCAGAGACTATGACATCTACCTGAGAACTTTAGTTCTCAGGGTTTTTCCTATATCTATAAAGTCAACTATTATACATTACCAATTTCAGATATGTAAAATCAGAAAATTCCAGCTCAGAATACAAAAACCGTTTATAAATTGCAGTATTTCAACACCTTCTGATACTTTGAAATCATTTGAAAATATCATGACAAAGGAAAAGAGAACATAGCCTTAAAGATAGACATATTAAATAGATAGATAGAAAAGAACAGAAAAGAATAAGTACAGTAAAGAGAGACTATAATAAAACAAATTATTAAAAGATAGTGTATAGCTGTTTTAACAGACTATATCTAATCAATTTTCATCTCTTCATATTCAGATGCTTCTGAATTCAGTCATTTTCTTATAGCTGCTTGAGTTTCTGATAGAAAGTCTATTAAGTGTTTAATTCCTGTCTCAGTTGAGAATAAGAACCTCATATTTAATTGAGTTAAATTATACTTCTTCTTCAATCTGACTCTGAGACTATTGTATAATACACAATGTATTACAATATACTTAGAATTTTCATTTACATTGCAGAATGAGCATTCTGTTGAATCAAATCTATCATCAAATCTTTGTATATAGGATTTGAAATACCCATGTCCTAGTTTCAGCTGAATTATAGATGAGAATATTTTCTTTTTACATTTAATTGAACAAGATTGCCACTTTGATTTTATCTCAAATCTTGAATAATGTATGCTCTTCTTTTGTTTCTGCCAGCTTTCATTTCACTTGTTTAAACAAGATTCTTTTATCTTTCTCTTTATGAAAGATCAGAACACTGTTTTTTAAATAGATCTGCTTAATTCTGAACTTCTTTTTGCTGCTGAATCAGTCAATTCATTATCATGAATATTCATATGAGCAGGAACTCAGTGTAGATGAATTATCAGTTTTGATACTCTTCTCTTTTGAATTTTCATAACAGAATTTAAAATCAGTTCAAGATTTATTTGATCATTATGAATCTGACTATTTTTAAGTCTTTTCAAAGCAGCTTGACTATCAGAGAATATTTATATCTCTTTCAACCTATTTTCTCTTTTATAAGATATTATCTTAATAAGTTTGAAAGCTTTTACTATTGCAAATAGTTCAGCATCAAAGACTTCAGATTCACAGCTCAAATTTCAGTAATCTGAGATGAAATTGATATCATCTTCAGTATAAGCAATGCCTGCATCTAATCTGTTTAAACTCTCATTTTTTGAGCCATCTGAGTAAACCAGAATAGAATCTTTTATATTAATTGTAGAGATCTTCTTCAAATGCTGTTCATATTCTCTCTCTTTAGATAGTTAACTTATTTATAAGTCTATGAGAGATTTCAGCTTTTCTCTTCAGAGAGATATCTTCTCATGATTAATTTTCTCAACATTTAATAAAGAAAATTGATTTTTAATCAGTGAATATAATCTGTACAGTTGAGAGAGTATTTTCTTTGAAGAATTATTCACATTTCAATCAAGAAATCTATTTCAATTCAGTTCATTTTCTGAGTTGATTGATAAAAATAAAGAAGAGACTCTTTCTCTGATTATATGATTTAAGCTCATCTTCATGACTCTCAGAGCATAGTTCATGCAGGCCTTTTAAAATTAAGAAGTAGAAGATGAAATTGAAGCTTTAATTTTCATTGCTTTAATAGAAGATGATTTGAATACTCTCAGATTTCTTCTCAAAGATCTGTTTTGCAGACTTTGAAAGAGTTCAGTGAAATTATCTTGATTATTTCATCAAACTTGAACTTCATAATCAGCTACTGAGGTAATACAGGCTATGTATAACTGTCTCATAGCCTGAAAGAATAGACCTCTTTCAGTATTTAATAGTCTGATTACACTATTCAGTAGTCTCTCTGCCTTGATGATTTTTTGTTGAATATGATATTTAAAATTCAACTTGAAGTTTAACCATACTTCTAGTTCTTTGATATTCAAACTGAGTTTAATCTCTTTATTCAAAAGAGTTAGACTTAGTGCTTTCTCATTGATGTGAATAAGTTCTAATAGAAATTCTTTCTCATCAAAGTTGTAAATATTTACAGATTCAATATTATATTAAGTGATTTTTATCTATAACTATAAATTAATTAGTAAGAAGTAAAAAATCAGTAGAAGAAAGAAATTATTAGAAGAAAGAAATCTATTATAAGATTAAAATAATGCTTGAAATATATTAAATTGTCTACAATCTTGTGTTTTTAATTGATATTTTAAATATAGAGTGACTTGATTATATTCTTATAATACTGACAGAATTGTGACACTCAGTTAATTTTAATAGATGTTTTTAGAATCTCAATAACAAGATTATGAAGAATTTGAGATATGCAAGGGAAACTGCAATCTGTTAATTAATTAATATGAAAAAGAAGTCATTCTTCTTATGAATCTGTGAGATTTTTGCAGTGAATAGAGCTTGCTTTCTTTCTTGATGTTTGAACAGCTCTATAACACTGTGATAATGTATATCAACTGATTCCATATTTTTTAGCAGTCTCAGTGTAATTAGAAATCAATTGTGTATTCAAATTATCAATTGCTGCTTGTATAACTGCTTCATAGTGCATGTTGTGAGTGTTTAAAGATCAATGAAAAAATGAAGATTGGGCGGGCGTTGGGTGTACGCGGGCGTTGAGTGGTTGATTACGTTAAAAATTTAATTATATTAATTAGT